TACAACAACCCAGTGTTCCGGCCATGAAAGCCTTCGACAATACAGTAGAAATGACATACAACTTCTGAGTTACAAGCAGTAATTCTTAAACAACAACAGACATGGCAGGAAATTGGAAGGAGAAATAGTTTTCAAGCCACACAAAGGAACGGTAGCAAGAGATCACTCACTAGAACAGGAAATGTTGCAGAGATTCTTTGAGGGCTGAACCCCATCATAGCACCAGTCTGTATTGGTAATCCTGAATAGTCCATAGGCTTTGTGACTTGTCAGGCTCATTGGAGGATGAGTGTTATATCCGCTTTCATGAAAGGCTGCACAAAGCCCTGGTAAGAAAAATAATATGCAAGATTAGCGATTGGTTGGAGGATAACAAAGAATTTATAGAAAGAAGTACTCGTGGCAAAACTCACAGTCACCAAGGGTGAAACCAAGGTATTGACTCAGCCCCAAAGCATTAAGTTTCTGTGCTAGGTGACAACGGTAGATTATTTTGGCTTCACTTGTCACAAGCACAGAGCTAAGGAAGACAAGGGTAAAAACTAGCACCCTCATGACTGCAGCTGCCTGGACAATGAGATGAGGATCTATCAGAAGAACTAGATCTTTTATAATCTTGGGATGAGTGGCAGAAGGGTTTGTTGGCATATATTTGTTCCCAGAACCGTAATTTAACCAAATGCTATTTAAGGTTTGATTTATTGTTTGGATGAGAGTTATTTGATGTCAGCAAACTAATCCATGTATTACCTGGAGATATTTTCATTCATAGAATCATAGAGTTGGAAGAGGCCTCGTGGGCCATCTAGTCCAACCCCCTGCTAAGAAGCATTCATCTCTGTCAGCTTGGACTAAATAAATTAGTGTTTTAGCACAGTTGCCAAAAGGGATACAAGTACAAGCAGATGTTTCATAATGTACAAGCATAAACATTCAAAGAAAGCACGACGTCTTATACAGTTTTCTGTATTGTCTTGTACAGTTTTCTGCTTTAAACTGGATTATATGAGTCCCCACTGCCAGATAATCTGGGATAAACAGAAAACCTGGGGTCAGATCCTGGGATATAGGGCCTGTCTGGAAGGGCCCTGAGAGTCATACTTCCAAGCCCCATTCCAGAGATGCGACTCGGATGCAGATTCCAGAGATGCGACTCAGAAGGATCGTACTCAGAAGGATGCTACCAAAGGCTGTCGAGAGGCTCAGCAGAAGCAACCAACAAATCCCACCTGTCAGGTTCCCTGTATATCTATCAAAGCAACCAAAGTTGTCTCTATCTCATAGCCAAGATTAAATCCAGGTTAAAATGGATTTCATCCAGAAACACACACACACACACACACTAGGACCTTACCTAAAAATGTAAACTTAATGATTGGTGATTATCCAAGATGATGGGAACCAGGAAGAGCTTTTTAGTCATTTTTTTTATAATGGCCTCTCTTTGGCAAGCTAGAGCTCTGCCTTGTTTTAAGGAGACATTAACCACTCCCTCTATCTACGCAGCCAGTCTCTTTCTAGCTTGTTAAATAACCCTGGAGGGGTATGGATCTAACACACATGTGCTGCTGAGATGGGTAGTGGTTCAAGCAGCTCAGTGAGAACCACGTCCAAGTCACCTCAAACCTGCTGCTAGCTTTTATGTCTAGGAACAGAGCAATAGACAGGGTAATAGATATAGGTGGGTCCTGGTCTGATTCAACAAGATTTTTCTTTCATTAGAGGGTAAATGTTGATGCAAATATTGCTTTGTCTCATTCTCATATGCAGAGTGGCAGTGTGGGTGGGATATATTTTTTTCCACTGCCAATAATAATGAAGTGTTAGTTTGGTGAAAGTGACAGACTTTGTATTTCTAGATGCAAAGATTACTGCAGATGCAGATTGCAGCCAGGAAATGAGAAGACATTTACTTCTTGGGAGGAGAGCAATGTCCAATCTCGATAAAATAGTGAAGAGTAGAGACATCACACTTACAACAAAGATCCACATAGTTAAAGCTATGGGGATTAACCTATGGATGTGAGAGCTGGACCACAGGGAAGGCTGAGCAAAGGAAGATATATGCTTTTGAACTGTGGTGCTGGAGGAAAATTCTGAGAGTGCCTTGGACAGCGAGAAGATCCAACCAGTCCATACTTCAGGGAATAAAGCCAGACTTTTCATTGGAGGGAAGGATAATAGAGGCAAAGATGAAATACTTTGGCCACATCATGAGAAGATAGGAAAGCTTAGAGAAGACAATGATGCTGGGGAAAATGGAAGGAAAAAGGAAGAGTGGCTGACCGAGGGCAAGATGGATGGATGGTATCCTTGAAGTGACTGGACTGACCTTGAAGGAGCTGGGATGTCCACGGCCAACAGAGAGCTCTGGCATGGACTGGTCCATGAGGTCACGAAGAGTCGAAAGCAACTGAACAAATAAACAACTTTGATGAAAATGAATTTGCAAAAAGTGTGTAATTACACAAAAAGGGTGTTGTGTGGTTTCCAGGCTATATGGTCACATTCTAGCAGCATTTCTCTTGATGTTTCACCTGCATCTGTGACTGGCATCTTCAGAGGATCCTCGAAAGCTATACAACATCCCAAGTGATTCCACCCATGAAAGCCTTCACCAACACAATGCACAAAAGTGTTTACCAGCATCAAAATTTATCAACCATAAATATATAGGTGGTTTGCAGTGGTGGTTTGCCCAAATTAAAAGAGTACTCAATGGCAGAATTTGGACTATGCACCAAAACAAAGAGTAACAGTAAAAATGATTGAAACAGCACCTAAGTCCAGCACTAAAATGAGCTATTGTTAAATGGACAATGCTGTCTTTTACATCCATGCCAAATGTTTGCTCTTTGTAAAGCCCCGGATAAACTCAGAGACACTGGGTGCACCCAGACTGATTAAAATGTCCCAAATTTAGTTCCTGTTCATTCTGATTTTACACTGGCTCACAATGAACTAGTACGAAAAGGTTCTGATCATATCAGGAGCTGACAGAAAATATTTTGGGATAAATAAAACGTGTATGGATCGCCAAAATAAAATCAAAAGGAGCAGGAACTAAATCTGGGACCTTTTTGTGGTGAAGACATGTTATGTGCGGCTAAGCACCCTGATGAAAACAGAGACCAGTGGCACCTGGCACCCAAAATAAGGGAAGTATTCCTATATGTGAAAAGTAGGATGATCCGTTTCCCCTGTATGCTTCGCCATTTCTGTTGTTTTCTTTGCAATATGTATGAAAATTGTTCTATTGTGAATCAATTACTGCAGTTAAGCAATGAGTCCAAGAGAGGTTTTGGTCAGTCTGGAAGAAAATATCCATCTTCACAATGACACCTCCTGCCTCCCAAAAGAAACCATATGCAGGCTTGTACTAGACTTAAATTGGTGTTTGTCACTAATGCGATGCTGGTCATCAGTTTTTTATCATTATATGAGTAAGAACGTAACTACTTTTGGCAATGCAGTGCCTTCAATGTGGGATAATGAAAGTGCTATTGAGGTGTTGAATCAGTTGTGGAACTAGCACATTAAGAGTTTAAATTAAAACCTAGAGTCCCAAAGAAACTTCTCACTGCCACTGATTTTTATGTCCAGTTTAGTTATAAATCTTCAGCAGTGTTCAGATTGGGGTTTCCTAGGAGGAGTCCCACTTCAGTAGGGCCATCTTCCACATTTGTCTTCATCAGCTCATGTTGATTCAGGGCATGTCCATTTACAGAGTGCATTCATCTCAGGAGATTCACAAACTGAAAAGATCTGGGAGTTTATCCATCTTTGTAAAATTGTTTTCTGGGACACTCTGGGCAGAGAGACATGATGGCCAAAGCTCAACTGGATTGCTTAGTCGGATCTGGTCATGGTGGTATAAGTCACATCCTGGTTGGGCTACTGTAATTGTTTTTGAATTGTTATATTTGCCATGTTTTAAATTCTTTAAGGTAAAGGTAAAGTTTCCCCTTGACATTAAATCTAGTCAAGTCTTACTCTGGGGATGGTGCTCATCTTCATTTCTAAGCTGAAGAGCCGGCATTGTCCATAGACACCTCCTAGGTTATGTGGTCGGCATGACTAAATGGAGTGCCATTACCTTCTTGCATAAACAATACCTATTCATCACTACTATGTTTTATTTTCTCCAAAGTGGGAATGTGGCAAGTTGTAAACAGAGCGTGGAACAATTACCTTTTTGAGCAAATAACACCCAGAAAGACACCCCAGTATGCAATAGTATGTAATAGTATGCAAGGAGCCTCCAGTGGCACAGTGGGTTAATCCGCTGAGTTGCTGAACTTGCTGAATCCAGGGAGCGGAGTGAGCTCCTGCTGTTAGCCCTAGCTTCTGCCAACCTAGCAGTTAAAAACATGTGAGTAGATCAATAGGTACCGCTTTGGCAGGTAGATAACGGTGCTCCATGCAGTCATGCCGGCCACATGACCTTGGAGGTGTCTACAGACAATGCCGGTTCTTCGGCTTAGAAATGGAGATGAGCACCAACCCCAAGAGTCAGACACGACTAGACTTAGTATCAAGGGGAAAACTTTATCTGTAGTATGCAATTTGTGTTTCTCCTTTTATCCCCTATTTTTTCTGTGCAGGTAAAGCAATAGAAATTTGCACATCTACATTTCAATAAGTTGCTAATTATTCTTTGGAATGGATTTTCCTGCTGCTGAAGGGTCCAGTTGATACATATATGTTCCCAGAGAAGTTAGTGTCTTCTGAAAATTTCCCTAGAAATTGCAGTTTTATTGAGTTATTTAAATGATTTATTTCAAAGATCAAAATATCCTCAAGTTGTACACGTTCTTTCTTCATAAGGCAGCCTGGAAGATCTGACTAGGAGGACAGCGGATGACTGGTGCATTTGGATCAGTATAATTCAAAGTCAGCTTAATACATATAACAACAAAACAAGCAGGATGCGATATGGCAGGTCCACAAACTATTCGGATTGGGTAGAATAGCCAAAGCATAATATCACATTGGCTGCTTTATTTTTTCCGCTTGCATTCCCAAAACACTATTTCAGGCATTGGGTGTCTGCAGTAATCTTGAAAAGGTTTCCTTAAAAGGGCAGAAAAAACAGGAAAGGTTATTTTTCCATTACTGTATTTAAAATACTATTTTAAAAAACAATTTAAAACAAAACATATATACAAATCCATATTTTTCTTTCCAAAGTAGACATATTGTTCTAACTCCAACAGTGAAGATTACCCCATTTATCATAACTGTTTATGCACTATATGTCAGTTCTTAAAGAAATGCCGTGTTAAGCAGGATTTTCAGTGCAGTTGGGATAGCAGTGAGATCTGAGGAAAATTACAGGATATACTCTTTTGTAAGTCAACCTAATGTACAAGTTGAAGTTGTGTTTGATAGACAAAATTATGGATTTTGATACAATCCATGGATTAGTTGAGGTTTATTCCATGAAGAGAGCAAAACACCAGCACCATTTTAGGGGGACAGCCACCTCTGGATGCTGCCATTTGTCCATTCTGGCATTTAAAATTACCTTTCAACACTATGCTCAGAGAAGGAGACAGTCACCTTTTTTAAAGTACAGTATTAATTCTTATATTATTATATTATATAAGAATATAAGGGGGACATGAGAGAAGCCTCCTCGCAGGATTGCAAGACATCCGGGCGCACCCTGGGCAACGTCTTCGTAGACGGCCGATTCTCTCGATCCAGAAGCAACCAGAGATATTATATCATAAGATTTTGGAGCAAAAGGTCACAGACCAAGGCCTGTTGCACTTTTACTGCTATTCAAACTGGCACTTTAAGGCTTATATATTAATATATTATACTGTAGTATTAATATATTACCGATGTGTTATGCTAATACTATAATATATTATATATACATATAATATTGTTAATAATATTATATTCTAATACAATATAATACTACTAATAATTCAATATTATTATATATTTCATATTAAATGTAATATTACTAATAATATTACAGTATAGTGGCATAGCACAATATAGTAATATAGCATACTAATATTGTGCTGTGCTAATGATATATTGTAGACACATATAATATTGATAATAATATTATAATGTAATATAATATAATACTACTAATAATACCATATAAGAATTATATATTTCATATTATATGTAATATTACTAATAATATTACAGAATAGTGGTATAGTACAATATAGTAATATATAATACTAATATTGTGCTGTGCTAATAATGTATACACATAAAAAAGGTAAAGGTTTTCCCTTGACACTAAGTCTAGTTGTGTCCGACTCTGGGGTTTGATGCTCATCTCCATTTCTAAGCCGAAGAACCGGCATTGTCCATAGACACCTCCAAGGTCATGTGGCCAGCATGACTGCATGGAGCGCCGTTACCTTCCCACTGGAGCAGTACCTATTGATTTACTCACATTTGCATGTTTTCGAACTGCTAGGTTGGCAGAAGCTAGGACTGACAGTGGAAGCTCACGCCACTCCCCAGAATCAAACCTGCAACCTTTCAGTCAACAAGCTCAGCATCTCAGCGCTTTAACCCACTGCGCCACTGGGGGCTCCATATATACATATAATGTTGATAATAATATTATAATGTAATACAATATAATACTAATAATAATGCAATATAAGAATTATATATTTCATATTACATGTAATATTACTAATAATATTACAGAATAGTGGTATAGTACCATTCAGTAATATATAATACTAATATTGTGCTGTGCTAATAATATAATATATTGTATACACATATAATATTGATAATTTGATATAATCTTAATAATACAATATAAGAATTATATATTTCATATTACATGTAATATTAAAAATAATATAGTATAGTGATGTAGTACAATATGGGAATGTATATTACTAATATTGTGCTATGCTAATAATATAATAAATTGTATTTACATATAACTTGTAAGCCGCTCTGAGTCCCTTTCGGGGTTAGAAAGGTGGCATATAAATGTCATAAATAAATAAATAAATATTATTAAAAAAAATACTTCCTTGGTCTGAGGAGAGTGGTGCAAAGAGAGGACTTGGTACATCCTGGGAGAACCTAAGCGAAGCCCTAACTTTCTTAATGCTCCTTGAGGGGAAGCACCAAAGAGCCACAACTGCCTTATTTTCTCTACCAGGCATTCAAAGACCCCCCCAGAAATGCCACTGTGCCAGTGAAAGCAAGGGGTTTGGGACTTCTTTCAGGTTCTCCTGGAATGAACTACGCTCCTGCCTTTCACCACTCTACTCCGAAAGGGAGTGGCTCCTTTTTTGATGAGAGTTGAAGTTCAGTACTTATGCTGACCAGTTGATATATCAATCCAGGTTTTTTGGGTAGACTTTTTGACAAACATTTATAGACTTATACATGAATATATAAATATTACAGAAAGTATTCTTAGTGACAACTATGATTGGAACAGGGTCATTCAGAAAATGGTCACAGATAGCACAAATATTATAGAATTATAGAAGCAAACTGGTTAACTGCTCTCCTGATTGTAGGGATGGGTTGAACCCTTCTAGTGAATTGTATTTATTACTATTATTTATTTACAGTATTTATATTCCACCCTTCTCACTCTGCAGGGGACTCAAGGCGGATTACAGTGTACACATATATGGCAAAGATTCAATGCCAATATGACATACAACGTATACAGACATACACAGAGGCTATTTAACTTTTTCTGGCTGCCAGGGGAGCTGTCGCTTTCATCGTCCATCTGCGACACTGATGAAGTATTTCCGCATTCCCCGCATGCTTTGCTGGAGTGCTTTGCTGGAGTCTTTTTTATGGCCTCATAAATTAGTTAATTTAGCCCCCCACACTTTAAGGTGGTATTTAATTTTCCTACTTGACAGATGCAACTGTCTTTCGGGTTGCAAAGGTCGACAACAGACTACACAATTGGTTGGAAGCCCACTCCAACCCGGGCTGGCTTGTTGTTGCAACACAGCAGTCAGTCTCTCTCCCCCCATCTCTTGCAAATCTCACTGGCGAACTAGTCACATTATGACACTGCTTGAGTATCCAGTGTGTGTGTGTATGGCTTTACTTTGGTCAGCCAAAACGTAGTCTGAGGACTTCATCCCATGTAATACGTAAAGTGTTGGGGATCTCTATTTTTCCCTGAAGCTCCGCAACACCCTGTTTGGAAATTAAACGAATGATTTCCCTACCACATCACGTGTTTTTCTCCATTCAGCTTTCTTTTCAAATTATCCATTTATTTATTTATTTATTTATTTATTTATTTATTTATTCATTCATTCATTCATTCAACTTGTATACAGCTACTCCCAATTTGGCTTCTCACGGGGTGAGAAGGGCAAAATATAAATGTTTTAAACAAACAAACAAATAAATAAATACCAATCTCTTCTAGCATGCCTATTGGGGTTTTTAAAAAATGAAATAATGGTGCCATTGAGAAAATGTTAGAGATGTTCAATGTATTGTCGAAGGCTTTCATGGCTGGAATCACTAGGTTCTTGTGGGTTTTTTCGGGCTATATGGCCATGTTCTAGAGGCATTTCTCCTGACGTTTCACCTGCATCTATGGCAAGCATCCTCAGAGGATGCTTGCCATAGATGCAGGCGAAACGTCAGGAGAAATGCCTCTAGAACATGGCCATATAGCCCGAAAAAACCCACAAGAACCTAATGTTAGAGATGTCAGCATGCTTAAGGGAATCCTAAACCTTACAGAAGGAGGCTAACATTTGGAGATACAGCTCATTCTATTTTTCATTCACTCACCAAGACAGCATTCCCTTCTTGCTGGCTGCAACTTTCTTTGCACATTCAATGTCATCTCTGATATCGTCATCTAGAAATTCTAAAGGAAAGACATTAATAAAGAATGATTCAATGATCTGAGTAGGAAAGGATGGCAATTGTATTGCTGTATCATCCACCCTCTGACCCACAGGAGCCCTTCCTGGACTGGCCAAGCTGACAGTGGTTGTAGGCATTACTTCAGAAATTACATTCTTGCTGAGGGTGGCTTGTTGACACCAACTAAAGGTTTAATGGCAACCATAGGGCTCTGCGTTTTCTGGAAGAACAGAACATCTCATAAATAAAAGCCTGCAGTTTCTGCTCACCTTGCTTTAGTTGCCCACTAGCTTGTCAATACATCTTTTTTAAATGGCTGGCATCCTGTTGGTGACATACACAAGTCTTACTCCATCTTATATTTGCATATCTCTTTTTAAGGTTGTTGTTGAGAGAGGCATGAACTGAATCTCCTGCACAACAAATCCTAGCTATTTGATTTGCTGTTTCCTGCCAGCCCAGCCCACCTTGACCATGATATTGTTATGAGAGAGTTGAAGGTGGTTGAGAAGTATCTGGCTATCTCCTGGTATCAAGACATCATTTTTCAGGATCTTCGGCAGAATCCTAGAAGATAATGGCAGAAGCCTTCATCGTTGTCTTCCTGGCTGTCAGAAAACCACTAGATGTTTTTTGGTTAGCCCCTGCTCTCCCCTGGTTATTACCTGGCCATAGAGGAAGAATGGTCACAGGAAAATTGTGTGTCCCACATGTCAGGAATGGAGGACCAAACAAAGTTCTTCTAAGGGCCTTTATCCCAAGATCTGATTCCAGATTATCTGCTTTAAACCGAAATTTGGAGATACAGTGAGTCCCCACTGCCAGATAACCTGATAATCTGGAATCAGATCCTGGAATATAGTGGCAGTGTGGAAGGGTCCAAAGAAGAACATTTAGCTTCATCTCCACAATGGGAGAATTGTGGGTAAACCAACACAAATCAACAAAATTGTGTAACTTTCCTAATACTCTTCAGTTTCAACAGCAACAATATTTTTGACAGCTTTTTTTCCTAAGGACTGAGGCAGGGAACAATAGCAGATTAACAAAGAACAACAGATTGGATATAGCATCCCCATTTATAAACATATATCTCCACTCATAAAAAAACAAGATTCTGGCAACTGGACTGATTGATAACTGGGAAATAGCGAGAGAAAACATGGAGGCCATGACAGACTTTGTATTTCTAGGTGTAAAGATTACTGCAGACGCAGACTTCAGCCAGGAAATCAGAAGACGTTTACTTCTTGGGAGGAGAGCAATGATCAATCTCGATAACATAGTGAAGAGTAGAGACATTACACTGGCAATGAAGGTCTGCATAGTTAAAGCAATGGTATTCCCCATAGTCACCTATGGATGTGAGAGCTGGGCCATAAGAAAGGCTGAGTGACGAAAGATAGAAGCTTTTGAACTGTGGTGTTGGAGGAAAATTCCGAGAATGCCTTGGACCTTGAGAAGATCCAACTAGTCCATACTTCAGGGAATAAAGCCCAACTGCTCATTGGAGGGAAGGATAATAGAGGCAAAGATGAGCTACTTTGGCCACATCATGAGAAGACAGGAACGCCTGGAGAAGATAATGATGCTGGGGAAAATTGAAGGAAAAAGGAAGAGGGGCCGACCAAGGATGGTATCCTTGAAGTGATTGGCTTGACCTTGAAGGAGCTGGGGGTGGTGATGTCCAACAGGGAGCTCTGTCGTGGACTGGTCCATGCAGTCATGAAGTGTCGGAAGCAACTGAATGAATAAACATCAACAACAAACTCCATTCTTAAGAACACAGCAGCAGTTAAAATAGCATATAACTGAAATACATATTTTAAACAATCAATCCAATATTTTAAATCTCAAAATTGAAAAATCATCCGTTTGAGAGTGCTGGAACAGACTGGTCTTTACTGCTGTTCTGAACTCAAGACTGCATATCCAGTTGATGAATATTCTTGGGCAGGTAATCTCACAATCATGGGAGACTGAAGAAAATATCCTCTGAAGAACAGTTGTCAGTCTAGTTTAGGCTGGCTAATGTAAATGTCACTCAAAGGGCCTGATTGTTTGGGGTGAATTATGCAGAAGAAGATGATCCCACAGGTAATCCAGACCCAAACTACACAGAACCTTAAAACAACAACCAGTACTTTGCACCTTCTCTGGAAATTAATAGGCAATTATGTTAAAATTGGCAATATTTCATGAGGTAAATATATAAAGGAGTCACTTACTTTCGCAGTGAATTTTGCACAGGTTCTTTGAGGCATGCCTCTCATTGGTGCACCACTCCCGGCCACTGAGATAAAATAGTCCATAGTATGGAATACCCCGTGTGAACTCATAATGATTTGTGTTATATCCAGTGGCAAACAAAGTCAAGCATATCCCTGCAAGAGAGAACAACTAGCCATTGTAAATTCCCATTGCGTTTTGTGTCATAACAGCTCTTTCAAGAGATTTTAAAGCCAGAAAACTGCACTATTAAATTTACTCAACTTTCAGGCCCAGTCAAACCTTGGATGTTTACCCTTGTGGCATTAATATTTTCAACATTAAGACCAAAATCCTGTTGTTTATGTTCTGTTACAGTTGTGGCATGCCTTCATAAAGTTTACAAGTAATAGTTTACAATGAACCTATTACAGAGTTTGTGTGGCAAGATTTGCTTAGAGGAGGGTTGCCTTTGCCTTGCTTTAGGGCTGATTTCCACGATTTCCACAGGTTTCCACGATTAAGGGGGATTCTACTTCTGATCTCCAGAGTCTAGTCCAGCACTCAAACCATTAGAGTACAGAGTCTCTTCTGCTACGATAGCCCCACTTAATTAATTGTTGATTAAATCCTGATACAACAATCCTGATACAGTAATGTCTATTCTAAGCGGGACTGTCAATATGATGGAAAGCCCCAGTTTTCCATATCTCGGTTAAATATGTACCACCAGCACTGAAGCAATGCTCTTCCATAATCAGCTTTGCTGGACTGGCCACGTTGTCCGAATGCCCGATCACCATCTCCCAAAGTGGTTACTCTACTCCGAACTCAAGAATGGAAAATGGAATGTTGGTGGACAGGAAAAGAGATTTAAAGATGGGCTCAAAGCCTTAAAAACTGTGACATAGACACCAAGAACTCGGAATCCCTGGCCCTTGAGCACTCTAACTGGAGATCAGCTATGACCAGCTGTGCTGCAGAATTTGAAAAGGCATGAATGGAGGGTGAAAGGGAGAAACGTGCCAAGAGGAAGGCATGTCAAGCCAACCCTGACTGGGACCACCTTCCATCTGGAAACCAATGTCCTCACTGCGGGAGAACATGCAAATCAAGAATAGGGCTCCACAGCCACCTATGGATGCACTGCCAAGACACCACATCTAGTAGACAATAATTCTTGAGCTACGAGGGATCACCTAAGTACAATACAATATATATTTGTGTACCAAGAGAAAAAAGGTAACATTTTCAACCCCCAAAACCTGGGTTGACTTGCACAGGTCATTGCTGGAATTCAGTGCAAAGGCAATAATAAGAGGTAGAGGTAAGAAGCACCCATGCCATTACAATTATTTTGTCCAAACCAGAGAAAGAATGAACTTCCCTTTTTTCCATTTTTCCTCACTTGAATGGTGTTTAGTAGCAACATAGGGGAGCCTGAAGAGTGCAGTCTGCACCCCATTTTGGCCACTCAAGGTGGAGTGAAATGGCAGTAGCCATTTTTCATAAGGGCTTACTGCAGAAGCTTCTCTGCAGAGAGATTGTTGTGACCATTTTTTAACAGGGGCTTAACATAAATGGAGCCCCCGGTGGCGCAGTGGGTTAATGCACTGAGCTGCTGAGCTTGTTGACCAAAAGGTCACAGGTTCAATTCCGGGGAGCAGCGTGAGCTTCTGCTGTCAGCCCTAGCTTCTGCCAACCTAGCAGTTCGAAAACATGCAAATGTGAGTAGATCAATAGGCGGGAAGGTAATGGCGCTCCATGCAGTCATGCTGGCCATATGATCTTGGAGGTGTTTATGGACAACACCGGCTCTTTGGCTTAGAAATGGAGATGAGCACCACACCCCAGAGTTGGACATGACTAGACTTAATGTCAGGGGGCAACCTTTGCCTTTTACCTAACATAAACACCTACCTGCCAGGCTGTTTAAAACCAACATTGAGAAATGTTAAACAATGTGTAATAATAATGTCAAGAAATGTTAGACAATATTCTATATAAATAAAAATGTAGTGTTCGTTTGTGAGATTAACTTAATTCAAAAACCACTGGACGAATTGACATGAAATTTGGACACAATACACCTATCAGGCCAATGAGTTACTATCACTCATAAAAACACTGAAAACACAGTGGAAGGGACTTAAAAAGTGAAAAAAAAAAGCAAAAGGACACTATAGCGCATGCACAAAATTACTCCCCCTGGCAAAAAAACACACAGCAGCATATCCACACTCTCTTTCAGACTACAGCTCCCAGCATCCCCTAGACCAGGCCTTTAGGAGAGGAGGATGATCCAAATGCACTGCTTCCAATCTGCAAGCTTTCTTCTCCTTGGATTTCTTTGAGAGCATCCCAATCCCTGCACATTTCCAATTTCCTATTCCTGGACTGCAACTCCCAGCAATCCTTCAGATAGATAGATTTTAGATAGATTAAATAGAGATAGAAAGGTAGATTGATCAGGAGGACTGCTGGGAATTGCAGTCCAAGAATAGGTAGAAAAAGAAGAAAGGGGATAAAGTGGAAGGGAAAGAAAAGGGGGGAGGGAAAAGGAAGAGAAGAAAGGAAGGAGAGAATGAAAGGAAAAAGGGAAGGAAGGAAGGAAAAAAGGAAGGAAGGAAGGGAGGGAGGGAGGGAGAGAAAGAAAGAAAGGAGGAAAGAAAGAGGGAGGGAAGGTTGGCCACAGCAACTCGTGAGGGTACAGCTAGTGTTTAATAGTAATAATAATAATAATAATAATAATAATAATAATAATAATAATAGGAAAAAATGTTATTTTCCCCACAAGTGTTTTGCATTTCTCGGTACTCAATTTTGTATCAATGGGTTCATTTTCAAAATGCGGTAGACCTCAAAATAGCTGTGAATGTCCCAGTGTAACAATGTAGAAAAACAAGAATACTGTACTTAAATGCAACACTAACAAGACATCATTAAACTCTACATGACAAAGTTTACAGCAATCAATAGTTCTTGAGAAGAAAAGAAATAAATACTGCAGAATGAACTCTACCAATAAAAAAAACAGCTCAAGAAAAGGCTTCTAAGCTGAAAAGAAGCTGAAAAAATACCCAACAGAAAGAACTCACAGTGTCCTAGGTTGAGTCCTTCAAAACCGTCAAGTCCATTTTTCATAAGTTCGTCATATAGTTCACATTTTTTGTACTTAATGGCCTCATTTGCTTCAAGGAGGAGGTAGAGAAAGCCAAACTTTAAAGCCTTCATATTGGCAGGACCCTGGAAAGTGTAACCTCCCAGTCCTGGATTATTATTTTATTATTATTTTAGGCTTGGAGCTGCCTGTCCTCACTGCATGTAGTAACCTTCTGTCATCCAGAGGGAGCTCACCGCCTGTCTGTTTGCAGTACCTTAAACCCAGTGTTTGTACATTTCCAGGGCAGTGGCATCTATCAGTTAGGTAGTGAATTAGTCATGGGTTTTATTTGAAATTTTAAGAAGCCATTGAAGGTGATGCGCATATGGTTTGTTTTGAGCATATGGTTTAGGACCTTCATTGCCTTCTTAATCCAGGGGCCCTCAGACTTTTAAAGCCGAGGTCCCATTCATGGTCCCCCAGACTGTAAGGGGACTAGACTATAGTTTGAAAATAACTATAGTCCTATTTACACTGCACATATCTTGTTTGTAGTGGAAAAAAATCATAAAAGAACAATACAATATTTAAAATGAAGAACAATTCTAATCAACATAAACTTACCACTATTTCAATGGGCAGTGTGGACTTGATTTTGGCTGATGAGAGAGTCAAATTAATTAGGACTGTGGGATTTTACTCAGCTGTGTGGAAGGGGCCCAAGAAAATTAACCCAACAACGTATCTCAGAATTCACAGCACAAAGTCATAGCAATTCAAATGGGTTCGAAGTGATTTAAGTGTATAGCTTAGATACATCCTGGTGCTCCTTGTGCAAATATAGGCAGACTGGTTAAAAGAACTCAAGAGAAGAGTCTGCTTTTGAGAATATCAGACAAACATTTTGATGTCTGGAAATGGTATATATTTTGAATGCATGTGTCTACACACACACAAGTATTTCTGACTCATTCTGTGGCAGATTCTCGGGTTTTGAAATATTGAAATCTTTGGCTCTCTGAAGTGCGTTTTCTATATTAAGCACAGTGGGAGGACAGCAGACCATGGAGTTCCTCCAAAATGTGGGTACAAATAGTTTCTTTATATAACAAAATTCCCTGTACTTGCTAAAATAGCAGTCAGATGTGATGACATTCCACAGCAGGTCAACTTTCATCATATCCCACAGTAAGCCCTGGGGGAGGAAGCAGAGCTTGTTCTCATAAGTAAAGATAAGCACTTTCATTCTTAGGAATCTAGATCAGTAAAATTATTGCATTTACTCTGAACTGAGAGAAGACAATGTCCCTAGGGATGTTGGGGCCAGGCCCTATGTTAGCATCCATGCAGAGGCAGCCCTAGGTAATTTTCAACGGTAAGCAAACAGTATTTTGCCCCCCCCCCCCAACCAATCACTGATATATATATATTCTGTTCGTTGTGGGAGTTCTGTGTGCCATATTTGGTTCAATTGCATCATTGGTGGAGTTCAGAATGCTCTTTGATTGTAGGTGAACTATTCATCTCAGTAACTACAACTCTCATATGTCAAGGTCTATTTTCCCCCAAGAGCGCCTCAAGAGCGCCCCTGGGCAAAATCAACTATACTGCAATTGCTTACTTTGCATAATGGGTTGAGCTGCCCCTGCATCCATGCCACTCTCACATGCCTGTTAAACACCATTTTACATAACAGAATATCCTAGAGGAGTATGTCCAGAGCATCCAAATTTCCAGATAATTATTTCAGGATTGCCAAATTTCCAGATAATTATTTCAGAATGGCCAGGAATAATATGGTTTATGGGAATATCAAAACGCTGACAAGGATCAATCAGGGAAATCAGTTTTGCTGTCTATCTAATCACAACTCGCAGCAACAGGGAAAAGAAGTAAAAAAAAAAAAACCCCACCAAGCAATACAATAAGAAAGCAAGTGTGGTCTAACAAGTGAACGGTAAAGTACATGAAGTCTTAAAAGAATGTCTGAAGCAAGAAAATGTAATTTTTGATATACCTTTTCAGGTACACTTTTTTTCAAGGGATAGACTTTTAAAAAATATACCATCAAGTATGATGACCATATTGCTCTACTAAAGTGGTTCTCAACCTGTGGGTCCCCAGGTGTTTTGGCCTACAACTCCCAGAAATCCCAGCCAGTTTACCAGCTGTTAGGATTTCTGGGAGTTGAAGGTCAAAATACCTGGGGACCCACAGGTTGGAAACCACTGCTCTAGTATAATATCTGTTACGTAGGTTTACATGTACTTAGTTATGTAGCAAAGAGACAAAGAAATTATTTTAATGCATTGTAAAGATGTGTAACTAGATACCTTCAAGGGTGTTCTGAAGTGCATCTGCTATATCAAAGGGCATTATTGACCACTTCACACGTGCCACCGGACTCACCATGGATCGTGATGATTCCGTCTGTGTCCATGGGGGCTTGGGGAAATCGTTGCCCCACACCTCGCATTGCCCAACTTACTAGAAGTCCATCCTATGCGGGAAGCGTCCGCCACCTGGCTTCCCTCCATTGATCCAAGGCAACACAGGAAGCTTCCAGTGTTACCGCAGCAGCAGCATGCATCCGTTTGTCTTCCCTTACACCAGTGGTTCTCAACCTGGGGTCCCCAGATGTTTTTGGCCTACAACTCCCAGAAATCTCAGCCAGTTTATCAGCTGTTAGGATTTCTGGGAGTTGTAGGACAAAAACATCTGGGGACCCCAGGCTGAGAACCACTGCCTTACACGCATGCCTGCTGAAAGTTGCAGGGTGTTGTGGGATGGGAACCAATGAGCTCTGTGGTGAAAGGGAAGATGAATTGGTGCATGCCACTGATTACACCCCTGTCTGATGAGGTCGTTAAACTCCTCTGGCGCCTCAATATGAATCAGTCTTGTTTTATGTCAGTCACTTTGCTGATTCCCTACATAGTAATGTAACAGCAGTGGATAAGGGTGTTATGGAATTGCCCAGTTCTAATTTCAGCAGATGTAAGTCCACTTATAAAGATTTAAGTCCTCAACAGGATTTCTCCTGGGACTCAACAATTTCCAGTTGTTAAATCAAAACATGGGATCTCTTTCGTAGAAGTCACAAATCTGATGAAAGAGGAATGCACTATTAGAAGTATACATGGCACCCAAAGAGAGGCAAACTAACCAAAGTAAAGCAGAGCCCTCAAAAATTGTTCCACGTTCAATAGTGAGCCCCACTCTGCTGCAAAGAAATCACAAACACACATATTTTGCAACAAAGCAGGTCAAAAACTTTTATTGGTTACAGCTGCACATCTGAGTCTAGGTCCAGGCATCAACTAACTGGTCTGTGAGCCTCTTTCAGGAAATAAAAAATAGTCTATGTGGAATTCCACAAGAAGAGATGTCCGGTGTGGTTCCCCTGCCTACTGGGGATGTGGCAAAGATAGATGCCCCGAAGATGGCCATAAGCTTATCTGTCCTCATTGGCAAAGGTCCCTAAGAGACTATCTTCCTTATGATGCAGTCTACAAACACTTTCCTTTTGAATCTGGATCCTATGACAATTATTCCTGCAAAGTTGTGAAAAGGGAGTATAGCATCTCCCATGCAATTGACTACAGAATGGATACAACAATCTAGAACAGGCATCCTCAAATTGTGGCCCTCCAGCTGTTTGGGCCTCCAACTCCCAGAAGCCCTAGCCAGCTTGTTCAATGGTCACAAATTTGGGGAGTTGAAGGCCCAAACAGCTGGAGAGCCACAATTTGAAGATGCCTGTTCTAGAAGAATGGTTGAAAGCATGAAGCTCCGAAGCCAACTATGGCTGGTTAACTGCTAACATATAAGACAGCACCTGGACCAGAATGAAGCCTTCATCCAGGCTATTGTGGTCCCCCTCACCAACTAATGAATCCAAATTTGCCCATCAATAAGTCTTGGAGCATTTCTCTCAGAATGGAAGCTAGAGCTTCCAGTCACAGAACTACATGATACCCCCCCCCCCCTACTGATCCCTCCTCTCTGCTTCATACTTCTATTTATAGGAGGTATGGACAATGTGTAGTCCTTCAGATAGTGTTGTGCTGACACTGTCCTCATCTCTAGCCAGCAGAGACCATGATGGGGAATGATGCACATGGTGGTCCAATGAATCCTTGTGAACTCCTGATTTGTAGAAAGCTTGCAGAAGATGACAGCCATATAGAAGAAGCACATCAAAATACTCCTTCTCCTAAATCGTTAGAGGTTTCCTTGAGTCTCTAAGTATTTCAAATGCCGCGGAGCCATCCTCCTAGGCCCTGGATTTTCTTGGATCCAGCCCCTGAGGCAGGAATCATCCTTGGCTTGGATTTCTTTCTTTTTTGTGGTAAATCCATAGACCTTCCAAAAAGGCACGCCAGATAATAACGATTCACTATAGTGCGTGTGCAGTATTTCTGATAGACTGGCCTAAAGGGGCAGTGGAAGGAGAGGGGATAATAAAAAATAAATTGCACTTCAGTCAACAGAGTTATAGAGTATATTCAAATTGCAAACATCTCCCAGTTTTGAAAAGAAAACTTCAGATAGGTAAAACATTCAGTCGACTCAAAATACAATGAAATGTTCTCACACTGAAAAATGACTTGGCAGAGAAAGGTATTGTTTGTGTGTATAATGAATAGACTCTCTTTCTTCCCAAACCGGGTCCAAGATGGTAAAATGTTAATAATTTTCCAGACTTTGAATAGTGGCTCATACTATTTTATTTCCTGACTTTTTAATGAATAGTTTTTGTTTTGAGGTCTATACTATTTTTAATTACTGAGGTGAACTGGCAGGCCTGTGTGTGTTAATGCAATGTTGATACATTAATTATATTTTAATTAAAAACTTCTGCATGTTTTAAATCTGAATTTGGTTTATTTTGTGTGATCTGCCTTGAGGTGGAAAGGCATTGTCACCACCAGTACTATTGTACTTTAACGATAGGCAATCCCCAAATTACAGATAAAATAGGTTCTGTAGATTTGTTCTTAAATTGAATTCGTCTAAGTCGGAATAGATACATTTGTTAAGTGCATTTGTTATACACACATACATATACACACACACAAAATGCTCCTTATTAGCATTAGCTTTGGATAGCACAGGAAAAGGTTAACAT